AAGAAAAGCAGCCAGGACACGCAGCAGCCAAAGAAAAGGAGAACAAAACAATAGAACGAAAAACAAAACAAAAGACAAGCAAGCAGACTCTGCAGCTGCAGAACTCCCCTGCACCCCTGTCGACCTGCTCCCTGCACCCCCCCCTCCCCTCCTCCGGCCCTCCTGCTCCCCTGCTCCTTGCTCCTCAGTTCATTTCACTTTTTATGCCCGCAATCTGACAAGTTTGTTTGGCATTCTTTGCTCGTTTGTGTTTCACCCTTGCATGAATGCCACTCCCACACCCACCCACACACACATACTCAACACTGTGCCCCCCCACACCACACTCTTTTTCAAGGCTGCTTCAATAGCATCTCAAACTTTTCGTTTCGTTTCGGTCCTCTACGTTTTGTTGCATTGACAAATAATTCTGCTTTGTGCAGGCTCGTGTGCAGGTTGACCCCCACACCCGAGACGACTCCCGCCGCCCCCAGGCCAGAGCCAGAGCCAGCAGCCTGCAGCCTGCTGCTCGTGCAGCTGTTTGTGTATTTCGACATTCATTAGCTTGTCTTGCATGGTCTCTACCCCGTGCTCCATCCACAGCAACATCCGAAACACCCACACCCCAAGTCGCCAGTCACCAGTCACCAGTCACCAGTCGCCAACTCCATCTTCCTCCCATCCATGGCTATGCAAATTACTTAGGCATATGAGTTCTGAGTTTCATTCTGGTTTCTTTGTTTGGTTTTTTTTTACCCCCATTTTAGTTTGTCTTAATTCTGGCTGCTGGTTCTCCTGCTGGCTCCTTCTCCGTTCTTCCACGGACTCTCAGCTTTTTCCCCGCACAAATCGAACTCTTCTCTTCCCTGTGGGGGAGGGGGCGGGCTTCACAAGTGGCATTGCAATTAAACTGCAGACATGGCTAAGATTTTGCCTAATCCGCCTGCCCATCCCCCACTCACCCCATTCGAGAGGGTGTCAACTGCGGAGGGCACCTGGCAAAAGTGAAATTTTCCACACACACTCAGAGAATGGTGCAGTGGCAGTTGCAGTGGCACTGGCACTGGCACTGGCACTGGCAGTGGAGCGAGAAGTGTGCGTCATCAGGCTTTGGATCTGGTTTGCTTAGGCGTTGCAGCTGCGTTCCTTCTCCTGGGGGGGCGCTCCAGCAGCAGTTGAGCTGCTACAAAATGGGGTTAAATTGCACAGAAATCACGCGTCACATATACGCCCCCGCCTCCGCTCCCGCCACAGCTTCCCCCTTATCACCCACCACCTGCGCCATTCCGCCCCCCCTCAAAATGTGCCACCACATACAGACAGAGCAGCCGCTTTGTTTGGAGCACTTAACACGGCGTCGTCGACGATGACGACATGCACTTGAGTTGCACAAAGGCCTAACCCACTCTCAGGCACTGCCAGTGCCACTGCCACCGCCACTAGCTGCCCCCTCCCGTTCGTGGCATTCAGGAGTTGCACAGTTAGATGCACTAGACAGGCACGAGACAAATCGAAAGCGACGAGACGAGTTCTAACCCTTGCAAGTGATTCCAACCCCAACAAAGAGCCCAGAGCACGGAGCACATAGAAGCAGGCAGAAGAACATAGGATCAGGAGCAGGAACAGGAGCAGGAGAGCTTAAGGGAATATGCATTAGAGTGTCGATTGTGCCGCCGACTGCAGCCTCCTTTCGTCATGTTGACATAGAATCCTTTACCCGGCCTTTACATGGAGTTTAGTTGCAGCAGGCAGCGGGCAGGGCGGGCGGCAGGCTGCAATCCACCGCACCCTGGCAGGTGCAAACTCTGGAGTTGGAGCAGCGATGCCCTCCTGGTGGAACGAAAGTGAAACGGTGGTGGGTGCATCCAACTGTGTGTGTTTGTGTGTGTGTGTGTGTGTGTGTGTGTGGTGAGTGTGCGTGTGTGTGTGCTTCGGGGGCGGCTCAAGCTCAAGCTGCTGCCTGAGTGCACTTTTTTGCACTATTCAAAAGTGAACGAGGAGCAGGGGCCCTGCAGACATCTCTCGCTTTTTGCCTCTGCAGGAGTGGGAGTGGGTAGTGGTGGTGGGGGTTGGAGGATGTGCTGCTGAATGGGCTGAAGGACGTACGAGAGGCGACACGTCTGGGTCCTGCCCCACAAGGGGTTGGCAGCGAAACGAGTGGAAAGGAGGTGGTGCTGCAGTGAGTAGATGCAAAGATGGCGATGCCATTGCCAATGTCAATGGGGGGTCGCAATAACGATGCGAATGGGCATGAGGATGAGGCAGGCTCAAGACGAGCTCCTCCAACTCGAGGAAAGTGAAAGGCGGCTGCCTGTTCCGATGTCGTTGCCGTTGCCGTTGCCAATGCTGTTGCCCATAAAAACCAATGAAATTTCGCTTAGGCTCGTTCTGTGCTGCGCTTTACGAGCTCTCCCAGAGGTGAGCCATGCCAGGAGCTGAGTGGCGGGGGCAGGCCGAGTGGTCGCTCTCCAAATAAAAGGCACAAAAACTCACTAATATCCTTAACGGTGAGACGTACTTCGACTTGGCTGACAAATAAAAAGTTTCTGCTGCTCCTATTGCTTCACCCACTCTCCCTTTGTACCCCGCACTCCCTCTCCCACTCTCTCTCTCTCTCTGTGTCGATGGAAGAGCGGTCTCATGTGCGCGGCGACAAAGTTTTTATTCCTTTGTTTAGAATCAGCATAAATGTGCACGTGCCCCGGCCATGTTCTGTCCGCTTTAGTGCAGAGTCCTGGCCAGGGGGTACGAACGGGCAGGGGGAGGGGAAGGAGGATTGGTAGCTGCGTTGCCATTAAATTTTAATGCGGCCATATCGATATGCGTGCACGGCCTGTGCCAGCGGAATCTATAAAACTGAAGCTCAATTCGCGTACAGACCTGCTCCTGCTCCTCCTCCTCCTGCCCCTTCTCCTTCTTCTCCTTCTCCGGCAATGTTATGACATTGCGGTCGCTGCGCAGTCGCCATACGGTAACTGGAGGTTAGTTGAGCAGCAGGCTCTAGGCGGCAGCTGCCCCATTGGCACTGGGGGGGGTGCCTATGAATATCCCATGAGCTTACAAACTCACGAGCGCAGCACAGACAATTTGCTCATCCTCATACTCACACTCATACCCGTACCCCGTAATCGTACTCATGCTTTGCATAAATTCGATTCGCAGTGTTTGCGGAATCTAATCAATACGAGTACTTCATACCAAAATCTTGAACTGGAAAAATTCTCAACTGGATAGAAACGAAAAGAAGTCGCAATCCGATATTCGCAACTATATAATAAGAAGAAGACAAAATGAGCACGTAAAAGAAGGAAAAATTAATAGGAATAAAATTGCGAATGGATTCGAAGTGAGTTTTAGGGCCAGGGCTCTGGGCGAAGGCTACAGCCTTATGGCTGGGCTTCGCTTGCAGCTAACATACGAATATTAAATGTAATAAAATAATTTTAATGTAGAACCAATACCAAAACAATTTAAATTAAGATATGCACAACTTTTTATTGATCTGGGAATTCATTCAAATTAAATTTGGGTGTTGCTATGCCATGGCTGCACCATCAAGTGGCCATGCGACAACGAACTACTTGCACGCAGTACTTTAGAACCATAAAACTCTTGGAAAAAAAGTTATTTTTACTAAATATAATATATTTTAGCTGTAACATAGTCAATTTAAGAAAAATTGAAAAAAAAACTAACAAGCGTATACACAATAAAAAACCGGAAATTTACTAATTTAATTTACTAATTATGTACACACTTATTCCACGCCAAATATTTAGACACATTAATAATGCTCAATATTATCCACACCACGTGAGTGTTGATATTTGCCCGGTGGCCTTTCACCTTTCATCACCTTTCCGCATTTCACGGACCGAAATAGTAAAAAGATCGGGATGCTCCCATAGCCACACAAACCAAATTCTGTAGTTGAATTTGTGTTTATCCAATATTCAAAGTACAAATGTACATACTTATTTGCATACATATTTATGTACACATTTTTAGTGCTTGGCTTAAATAAATTTGTTTGTTTTTTTCGGGAATACTCGTACTTTTTTGTCCACCTATTGAAAGTGTCTTCGAAGAGGTAATCTTGCCTTCTTTTTAGCAGCTGAAACATATTTGCACATACATAGTTATGGCTAGTATAAATAATAATAAAGATAGCAACCTCTAACCTCTCCAATTCTATTGTATTTAAGGAAATACAAGAACAAATGTAAGTAGTAAAAATATTAATACACAAAAGTAAAAGCCTTTAGGAGAGGAAAGCTTAGATAGCTTAACTGAACTGAGCTTTTATTGTGAGTCCTTCCTGGACTTCCATGGCGAAAGTCCCTCAAAAGCTTATCATAGCTTTTTTGTGATATTGCGAATCCTTGCTGTGTCCCTGCCTAAGTACGATAGCAGATATAGCACTTTGGGAGCTTTCCAAAGGAAGTTCTCAAGACTTTGCAATCGAGTATTCACACCTGTGTCAAGTGTTGAGCTTCCAGGCAGGTCGTTGTCCCTGTTGCTCCTCCAAAAGTCTTGCCACAGCTGCAGTCCCAACATAAAAGAGAGCAAACTCAAACGGGTTTTGGGTTGTTTGTTTCTTTTTTTTTTAGAAAAGGGTTCAGAGTTTATTTATATAATGTATATATTATGTATATTTAAATTTGCGAGTCGAATCCTCCAGGACCCACTGGATTGGTATTGCAAGAGGCGCAGTTCAGTGGACCTGCCTCATCCTCCGAGAGGGTTTGGGCATGCAGGTGTACACACATGTAGATACATAGCAGATGTATTGTTTGCAGGTTTATTCATAGCTTTGTGAGAACGGGTGTGAGTACATCCCTAATTTTTGGGAGGGGGCGGGGGGGTTAGGAATTACAATGTTTGAAGAAGGCTGGGTATTAGGCTCGTATTATCTTAAGCTTTGTCTTTATCTTTATCGGTATCTGTATCTTTATCTGTATATTTATCATTTGCAGTTTGCCTTTTGCTTCGTTTTTATTTTTGCTGAGAGAGTCGTATTTTTCGGGGCTCTGTTCTCTGTTCTGTTCAGATCTTTTCGGCATTACTACATGCTAGTGTAAAGGGTTCTCTGCTCCACCGAAAGGTAATCCTCGTAAGCATAAGTTATACTCTATATAATCCACACTGGCACCTGCCATGCCGTGTGCCGTAAAATAATTCAAAATGGTTACAAAATGTATGGTATGAGTAGGTGGCGACGTTCTGTATCGTTTCTAAATTTGTTTTTGTGTATAAATTAATATCTATTTAAAATTATATACATCCATGTACTTATCATACCATATCATGCACATATCCTGTACAAAACGCCGCCGGATAGGTTTTTTTTTTTTTTGTTGCTTTGCTTTGCTCACATCTCAATTGTCATCTTCAAAAGTTTCATGCCTAAACCTCATTTTAATTATTTTTAGCTTCATTCACATGAATCATTTTTTTTAGGTTGTTGTTCAACTTCTTTCTTTGAGTGCGAGTTCACATAAATTCAGTCGTGATTCAATTGTTTTTAAACATCTTCCCTTCATTTAGTTGACAATTTTGTTTTTGTTTGTTTTTTTATTATGTTAATTGTGTGTCTGCGTTTCATACACCTTCTAAATAAAGCTCAAGGTAGTGAACCGGGCGCTACACGGCACTCAACTCAATTCAACTCAACACAACACACAACGAGGGGCTACCCGTGTCCGTTCTACAATATGCTTTATGCTCTATGCTCTGTGTTTGTGTGTTTAAACATAACACTCGGACATGTCAGACATGTAAATGCAGCTCGAACTTAGTGTACCGAAAGTAAATTGCTTAGACCTTAGACCAAGGGAATCGCGATCTAAAACCGCGACTATCTGGGTGCAATATGCCAGCCGCAGCAAAGTGTAAGCTGTCAGCGTCAACGAGGCTGTCCACTTTATTGTAAGCACGATAAAAACTATTAAAACTAACTCTACAAAACAACATCCAGCTGTCTGTTCTGTCTGTTTTTTCTGTTCTGCCTGTCCCTGCTGTCTGCTTCCTGCACTACTGGTTACTGGTGTATTGTGTATTTGCCGTCGCCTTAGCTTATTGTGTCCCCAGCAGATCCGTCTGCAGCAGACTGGATGCTTACTGGTGTGTGCGTGTTTATCTAAGCTAAAGCTAAAGCTGGTGTGGCGGTGTATCCACTGTACGGTGTACAGCTTGTACGATGTACTGATGCGGCTGCTCCACAGCTCTTCTACCACCTTCAACTTGAGTATCCGCATTGCATCCCCATTCGCATCCTCATCCTCATACCTATTCCTGTCTGGCAGTGGAGTGCATCGAAGCAAACAAAAGTGGTTTCTATCTTAGTTTTGTGCGTGTTTCTGTTTAGTTTAGTTTTTTTGTTTTTGTTTTGTTTTAACTACAAGTTGAACACATGCACTCGCGCACACACAACGTGCTTCACTGTACACTACTGTACTGTACAGTGGAGACAAGCACACCACGCACACGCAAGAGGGAATCGTAGTATTATTGGTTGTTAACTTTTCTCTTGAGTGGAAATGGAGCGTACAACAGAAGTGTGGATGTGTGTGTGTGTGGGTTCTTCGATCGCTTCCATAAATGTGGATGTTAGATGTAGGATGTAGCTTCCTATGATCTGACTTTATGATTAAAGTGATGTGCTGCGTTGCAATGTTGTTGTTTTGAGCTGCTATTCAATGACTGGTAACTGGAGCTGATGCTGGGGCTGGTGTTGGGTGGCTGCTTGATTCGCTTGGCTGATCGTGGTGTGATGTGTGATGAGAATTTACATAATTTTTGCTTCCAGTTGTTTATTCCGAATTTCTGTTGTCTGTTCTGTTTTTGTTGCTCTTTAGAATGATGTATTTTGATGATGGTGGAGATTACGGTATGCGGGGATTTTGTGTGTTTAAATTCCAAGACTGCAATAAGACAGAGAGAAAGAAATAGAGAGAGAGAGAGAGAGAGAAAAGTCAGGTTAGGGCTTCGATTTCAAAAATCGTAAAAGCAATTTCGAACCCGCCGCACTATCATACAACACAGAGGGGGTGCCACACACGGCGACACATGTACGAAGACTTATATACTAAGCAGATACACATATATACTTATATATATGTATATACATTGTACGTTTGCTAACAAAGCGTCTGAGGGACAAACAGTCCCAAAATCGACTAATTCCCGCATAATGTACACGATATACAAATACTATAGAATATATCGTATAAATGATGGGGCCTTTCTTCTGCTTCTCTTTGTTGCTGCGGCTCCTACATATATCTTATCTGTTGTCGGTGGTCACAAGACCCGACAATCAAGTTGCGCCCACAGTCTATGGCAGGGCCGTAGCCCGTGCCCGTGCCCCCCTCCCCGTGTAGGTGTGCTTGGGGGCAGAAGTGAAACAGAGCGAGAGAGTGCGCTCGCTCGCTTGCTTGATTGCTTGCTTGATTGCTTACATTCGCGATCCTTTCTGCTGCAGAACTTTGGCCCGATCGCTGGGCTCTAGCTCGCGGCCGGCCGTGGTGCCGCACTCCTTGGATACCACGCAGAGGAACTCATTGCTATCGAAGGGGCCGTAGGCGGAGTACTGTGTGCCGACGCTGATCAGCTGCTCGAACCGCCAGCCATCCGACAGTGTTGAGATCATCTGGAACAGAGTCGTAAAATTTTTTATGCAGCTAGAAAGATGAACCACACTCACCTGGGTCAGTTCTTGCTCGCGGCACTGCAGCACGCGATAGACGCGCTTCTTGTCCGCATGCGGCCTCTGAAAGAGTGGAAGGCAATATCAATGTGTGAGCCTGTCCAATCGGAGTTAACATGCCGGCCATGCCGGTGCCTATGCTCACCTGATCCCTGTGGTTGATGCACTCCTTGAGCAGCGCTATCATCTGTGTCACATTGTAGAACTCGGCCTCCTCCAGCACACCCTCCTCGGAGACGCCATCAAGCACGAGCTTGCCATGTCTCAGATAATTGAGCACGGGCGCAAAATACTTTGGGTCTCTGTCGATCAAATATGCTCCAGTTTCGTCCTGCAATATAAACGAAGGAACATTAGTCACTCATATCCGCCAGCTGTCCAATTCTGGTATTGGAAAAGCGTCACTTTCGAGTAATGTCACTGTCAGCCGTACAGGTGGCGGCTGCGCCTGGATGTTAATTTCGAATTCGATTTCCTAGTTCCATGTTGCATTTGCAACTGTTTACTTTCTGGCAATGACTGCACCATGGGACAGCCCTGCTGCCCCGGCTGTCTGACTGCGGGTGAACTTGTCTACAATCCCCCATACCCATACCCACCCATCGCCACCCATCGCCATCATCATCATTAGCAACAACAGCAGCAGCAGGTGAATGAATGACAAGCAGACGCCACTGGATGTTGCCTCAAGGTCTTGTTGTTGCTTTGTCGTAGTCGTTGGCTTTTATTTTGGTTTGAAACTATTTAAGCGCCCGGATAGGCATAGGTAATGGATTAGGAGGCGAGGCATGGGGAGGCAAGGGGCGGAACCAGCCTTAATTGACGGGGAGGTGAATTAAATCAATAGCAAATGGCGCGGGCGCAGGCACGGGCACACAGTAACAACAACATGGCAAAACTTTTTATTGAAAACTATTCGTAAATCGCAGAGGGGTGGGTAGTGGGGGTGGAGGGGGTAAACGAGGGGGGAATGCCCAGTGCCAGTGTCCGCTGTCGAAGTTGTTTATTGTTTATACCAAATGGAAAATCATTCACAATCTCGTTATGTGTGTTTCAGGAATTTCGGCTTAAATTTATTTATGCAAAGAGCGGGAGCGGGAGCGTAGACCGCAGCAGAGGAATGGCATGGCATGGCATGGCCCCATGTTAATGCGTTGTTCATGCTGTGATTATTATTGGCATGGATGATGGTTTAGCTGTACCCACCCACCGCGACCTTCGCCCGTCCATCCACCGTCCACCACCCCCGCTATGGCAGGGAGCACAGAACAGCGCCAAGGACTCAGCGCACCAGCCAAATCAGGGCCCTGTCACAGTAAACTAGTTCGAGGCAAGGCATATTAAATAGAAGGTAGGTTACATTATTTGTCATTCTCTCAGTCCAACCAAAGCTTTTGGTTGCTCGCTTACACTGCCTTACCCTCCGAGTCAATATACCTTTCACAAAAAAGAACTAGACACACACACACACAAACACCCACACACCCACGCGCCCACGGCTGCAACTGCAGTTAATGTGGTGTGCAGGCTATGTCTCCTGCTCTCTCGTTCTCTCTCTCTCTCCGCTCTCTGTCTATTTCGCCCATGGTCACTGCTTTAGCCTGCGCCCCAGAAAAATCGTTGTTCTTGCTGTTGCTTCCGCTGCATGACCTGCATTGGGTCATGCTGCTGGTTTGCTGGTGTGTGTTACTGTGTGTCTGTGCCTGTGTGTAGGTGCGTTAATGTGTACAATTTTCGGTGTTAGATTTTGATTACTATAATTATAGCCGCCCCCCCGCGCTAATATGCCAAAAGACGACGGGACGGGACGCTGTGTGTGGATGGTGGACACACAGTGAGGTCTATAAATATGTCAATACACTATTGAAACTCACCTGATCCGATATCAAGTCGCAGTCCTCCTGTATAAGACGGGACAGAAACGAATTTGGGTCACGGGAGAGCGTCGTTTTGGTGGTCAGAAAGTAGGTGCCACCCACATTTAGCTTGACCCACTGGTCGGTGCCCTGTTTCTTCGGCACATTGGGATTTTTTCTCGAATTTATGAACACGGTGCTCATGTTGTTATTGTTATTGCTGCTGCTATTGGTGGATTGCTTCTGCTGATGGCGATGATGATGTTGCTGATGCGACGCCGTCTTCCTGCCGTGCTCTGGATGTAGGTGGGATATATGGGATATGGATGCCAAGCGAATGTGCGAGTGTTGGAGAAGCAGTTGCACCTGCCTGCCGCTTTGCCTCTTCCGTTTACCGTACCACGGGAGCCCTTAACAGTTATGAGTTCTCTTCTTTAGCTTTGTTATTGTCGCCACGTTATGCTTCCCTCGCCAGCGTTCGCCTTGAATCTTGATTCTTATTTCTTCCTTTTGGCTTCACTTCCCTTCCACGTGCAGTTACAGTTGCGGTTTTAGTTTCAATTTCGGTTTCGGTTTTTGTTTCAGCGCCAGCTCATGCTTTACTGGCTTCACTTGCGTCTCTTTGTTGCGTTTTGTTGTCTTCCCTTGCTCTACGCTGCGCTGCCTCACTTTGCTGCTGGTGCCTTGTGGACTTCTGGGCCCTCTGCTAACTTCTGCTGTTTCGCTCGCTCCCGTTCCTGTGCGCTTCTACTTGGTTCACTCGCGTCCTATTTCTGCTATTTCTGATGGGCAGCGTTTGTCCGTTCCATTGGCCTCGAATCGCGTCGTCTGATTTTCATTTAAAAAAAATTCATTTAAAAAATATCATTGCACTAGAGGTGTCAAACAAAAGAGGGCACATCGATAGTATCGATATTTTGCTGCTAGCCTCTAATATCGATGGTTTTGTGACATCATGATAGTTTGGATTGGCTGCTATAAAATACGAAGACAAATTTGTGAACAAATCGACAGGTGGCATCTAATTTTTACAATAGACAAGTTCCTAAAAGGTTTCAATGGTTTTTAGTAATAATTATTTGAGCCGATACTATTACGATAGTATTGACTTTTTTTTCAAAACATTCAAAACTATCGATGACTTAACTATCAATCGTTTGACAGCTCTACATTGCACTATTCATTGAGCATCAGTGTGACCGCGGATTTATCTATCAGATATACCGCCATTCTCTCAGAAATATACCAAAATATACCGTCTCATTTTCGAAATTTACCGTAAATATACCGCGGAAATTTATCATATTCATCCATTTTGGTATTCGATTTAATATTACTAGCTAGTTTGGACTTTATCAACTGAAAATATCATTTTGTCAAATAGATGAACCTACAATTTGGCTTATTTGATGGGCTGCCACTTTTGGATTACTTATAAAATAAGCTTTAAGCTAAGAAGGTCAGCAAAAATGTCCCTATTTTACATGGTAACTACACGGTTACTACACATTTGCTACATATCAACGACTTATTTGTGGAGTGTGGCAGTTTGTTTAACCAATCGGAAATTAGCCTTTCAATATTGTTAAACTTCTGTACTCCAATTGGAGTAATACACTTCCAAATATCATTGCTCTAATTAGTTTCAGCATTTTTGCAGCAATCGCTCTGGGGCTATGGACACTATCAACACATTCGTAGTGGCATCGATATTTTTTTACTCGCTGACACTCGCAGAAATATGGCTATCGATAGCCACTCGCTCACTGTCAATAGATGGCTGCTGTGTAACCTGCGTGCATGACCAAGGGCAGTTGAACTTTTGAATTCAAATTCGAATTTGGTCATAAATGCCGTGCATCTATCGATCTCGAGTCTAAGCGGTCTCTTTACGCACTCTCAGTTGTCTTGCGGCTCTGTGACGGTGTGGACGAATAATAAAAATGAATCTTCTGCCGTTCCTGTTGCTTTTGGTTCTGGCCTCTGCCAGCGTCTCGCCCTTTCCCATGTTGTACAAGCGCAATCCCGACGAGAAGTACGAGGCAGGTGAGTGAATCCAGAGAGACCGTCGCGTTGCTCTACTCATGTACCTGATTGCCGCTTGCGCAGATCTAGTGCCCGTCTCCTCCACCGTCATCCCGCTGACAGTGCTCGAGGTGAGCTACGGAGCTGGCGGCAAGCCCAGCGAGGCCTACAAGGCGGCCTATCTGCGCAAATTGCGCAAGCAGGTGCTCCAGCGGTCCGACAAAGGGGAGAAGGAGCTGGACGAGGAAGTTCCCACTGTCCTGGGCTTGGCCGCAGACCCACTAGCCCCCGATTTAGCCGGACCCGCTCCAGCCCTGATCACAGGTGAGCCAACCAGACACCTGATCCATTCTTTCTCTGTTTGAGACTCATTCGGGCTCTTGTCTCTTGTCTTGTCTGGTTTTGCCTTGCAGTGAAGTCGCAGCAGCTGGAGGCGGCGAGCAGGGCCAAAGTCAAGGCCGTCTGAGCAGCTACCAATGGAGGTGGACCGGCCCGGACTGGAACAGATAGCTGCGGTCTGCAGACTGCTGGATGTGTGCTGTGTGATGTCATGGCGTGCATGGAATAAACAACAGCCAACAAGCGTCGCAAAAATCTTGTTTTGGCTGCGGCCTAATTGGGCGTGTGCGAATCTGCGTTGGCGTTGGCGGACGCTCAGTGGGCTGGCATGATGACGCAGTGGCTGCCGGAAAGAAGACCAAAGCAGAGCTGAGCTAAGCTAAGCAGACTGGCCGAAGGGTAGAAGGGCAGAGCAGGGCAGGGCAGGGTAGAGGAGCGAACGCATGGCAGGAAGGAAACCGCTCCGAAAGGAAGGATGTTTGTCATCAATGAAATCGAATCAAATCTAATGAACAAGAGAGCGACCCGGTTCGTCTGCTGAATTGTGAGCATGATTCGATTGTCATGTCCTGCCCCCCAAAAAGGACGGCGAATAATGATGATGAGCTAAGCTCCGCAAATGGCGGAGACATTAGCTGCAGACTCGCAGTAGTTCCAAGTGGATAAATAGATGAATAGAGATTGAAAAGTCTGGGAGAGCAAAAAAAAAAAAAGGGGAGAAAACGGAGGCTGCTGCGAGGGTGAAAGGCGAGCTCGTGCCAGGCAAAAACATTTTCCATTCCTTTTGAGGCCAGCTAGTCAATACTCCCGCACTTCTCCCCTCCGACCCACCTCATTAGTCAGTCTGTCAGTTGGCCGCTTTTTTCTTTGCTTTCAGGACTCAGGTGGAGACTCTTCCGGCAGCCTGTCAAAACGAAATCTGCCCGACTGACTGGCTGCCTGCCTGCCTGCTCTTTTTCTTGCCTGAATGCCTTTGAGCAGCTGTCTGCCTGCTTTCGCCCCGCTTGTGGTCGGTCGGTCGGTCCTTTGTTTGCAGCCGTCAATGTAGCTGTCATGGGCACAAGTCACAAGTTTGCGCTGCCCACAGACGTGTCACTGGCACAGCGCACAAGAATAAGTACGAAGCTCAAAAGTATGCACTGGCTCGTCATTGGCATTCGCGCCCGTGCGCCCAATGCATTTCGTATCCGGTTCAGTATCCGGATCCGCATCCGTGTCCGCATTCGTGTCTGGCTGATTAGGTGGAATGAGGTGTTCCTGGCAGCTAGCTATTTGCACTATTCATGCAGCCGCCCTCCGCGGCACGTACTTCATTTGAGCACAAAGACAGCCCAGCGCCAGCAAAGAAGAAAATAACTCTCAGGTTGCGGGGCCAGGTTTATGCGGCTTGAGACGGCTCAAGCAGCAGCTGCTAATGCCTCGATTCGTGAGTTGGTCAGCGCATAAACGTGACTCGTGGCGGGGGCGGGGGAGGGGGGGGGGGGGGAGGGCTGAAGGAGAAGTGTAAACTACACGTAAATAATGCTGTCACAGTCCACAGCCTCCCCAGCCCACTCTCACTCCGCGCTCGTTTCCAACGGAAGCACACTTCATTTGGCTTTGCTTTTGCTTTTTGCGTTTGATTTCAGTGTTCAGATTGCTGCCCTGCCCCGACTTGCCTTGCCGTGTTTTTCCTTGCTGTTTGATCTATACATTTCGTGGGCCACTTACCGCATGCCCCTCTGCCTCTCCCCTCTGCCGCCCACCACACTTTTGAGCTTCACTGAACGCATTAATAGCTCGGCTCGCGATTTCAATACGAAATGTAAATATCGCGTATACGCCTACGCGTCCCCCTCCCACCCCCCACTGAGATGTGGCTCGCCCTGGTCTGGTTTCATGTAGCTGCTTCTGCTCAACGAACAATCAACTGTGAAGGTAAGGCCAATACAAGTCCGCGGCCTATGAGCATTTCTGGTGGCCTTCCTTCGCTTACCTGCTGGCCTTTGATAGGGGCAGGGCGCAGGCCAACAAAAAAATTATAATAATAATTTACATGGTGGATCGTACCTTACTTTGAATATACCTTCGGGCTGTTCGGGCTTGGGGCTGCTGTTGACAGCAATCAGCGACAGAAGCAGATGAAATCGAATGTCAAATCGAATGACGTGTGATGTAATCGGTTTCTCTTTGTCTCTTTTGTGTCATAACCCAGATGATTCCGCCATTCCGATGCGACGTGCGCCGCTGGAAGGGTTCCCCCGCTATTGGAATCTATTCGAGCAGAAAGATACTCTGAATATATGGCACACGTACACACTAAGCTGAATATAGCCGGCTCCTGCTGACAGTTGTTGGTACAGCACTACAACATACGGATGTACATTTTTAATGTACATATGTGCATATCTTATGGCCAGGCAGTGCACAAGTTTGGGGCAGTGTACATCCGCATGGAGAGCTTAGCTAGAGACAAAGTCAGCCCTGGCATCCCTGGGCGGGAACTATTAGTCATTAGTTTTGGGCTTCCAGTTGCAGCGTTAAGTCTGACCTTAGAAATGATTTATTTAAGGTGAATTTCGATAAGTTTTAGATTTACTTTACTTGCAAATCTGTTGCTGGTCGCTGCTTGTACGATGTTCCTGCTCAATGCAACAGATCATCGGTATGCATACGTACATATGTGGCTGCTGCATTTGAACTAAGTACAGTACAGTACATACAGTACGCAGCGTGCTGCGTGCCTTCGAAACAGAGAGCCTGAGGAAGGGGGACTGGCGTTTGGCATTTCTGGAATAATTGTGGAAATCATACCGCTGCCGATGGCCAATAGGGAATTTCAGCTAAGGGTGGACCTTTAAGGCGCAGCACTGGTCCACTTGTTGTAAATGTGGGGGGGGCGTTCAATATTACATAGTGCTGGAAATTGCAGAGAAGAAACAACAATGCTTACATTACCTTGGGAAGCGTGTCTTTTAAGCTATTCGTTATTGCCATTTTAAATCCTTTTGGACAGTGGGAATCCGGGATATTTGATCTTTGCTGCTCCAGTCTTCTGCCCATAGACTTATTAATTATTAATTATTATTATTATTCTTCTCCCCTCTCGATAGTCAGTGCGCTGATCAAGGGACGTTGGGGCGTAGGCTGGTACTTACTATTGTGCCGATCAAACAGGTCCTGGCCACACCACACACACAATGGAAATTGTCTGGGAATTCCCAGCCCGCTACACCCCCCGGGGGCCCGGGGCGATGAAATGTCATTAAGTTCCAAATTTGTTTGGTTTTGTTTTTGTGTTGGGGATTTTATCGGCCTATTGAGGGTGCTGAGTGCGGCGGGAGGTGTGGGGCGGGCACACGATGGGACGCTATAGGGCGTGGCAGGGCGTGATCTAATTGCGGATTTGGGTCGTCTGTGTGCCAGGCCGAAACGGAGTGCGGACTGCGGACGGTGGACTGTGGAGTGCAGTTGTTGGGCTGTTGGGTTTTTCCCAGCGAGCTGCTCATCTGTTCATTTGTTTATTCCGTTCGGTTGTTTTTGGTTTTCCAGCCGCCCTGTTTGTTCTGCACTCATTTAACGATTCTGTGGCGCCCAGAAGTATGCAGCACGCAACATTATGCAAATGATGGGTGAGATGGGTGACGGTAAGGGGTATGGTGGCATGGGGGCATGGCTACCGTTACATTGCGCTTGGGAAAACCTAATTGACGCACGTCCTGTGTCTCGTGTCCAGCATCCTGTAACTTGAGCAGCAATCAATGATGTGGAAAATTACTTTAAACGTGTGCCTCGTCCTGCCCCGCCCTGATTCATTCCCTCATTCTCATGCATGTCCCTGAAAGAAGAGGGGAGAGAGAGAGAGAGAGAGAGAGAGGGGGCGAGGAAGAGAGGTGCCAGGGAGAGAATGGCACAGAAAAGGCACAGACATTTCTTTTAAACGCTTCGAACTTTCCCCAAAAACTTTGGATGATGTGGCCTCTCTCTCTCTGTCTCGCTCCCATCTCTTGCCTTCTATCGCCTATGCTCAATACTTGGCCCTTTCCATCTCTCTATATGTTTGCTTTGATATGGAGCATATTTGGGGCAGAAGGCTGAGGGAGGAGGGCGAGAACCCTTCAGACTTCACAGAGATGCCTCGCAGGCAGCAAACGGGCCCAAAGAAATCAGCGTCAAGCAAACAAAATTTTACTAAATACACACAAACACACACACACACACCCAGGCACGCAGACACACACACACACACACACACAGGCACACAGACACACACACACCACTATGATAGAAAGTCAGAATATAATGCCAACGAAATTTGAATGCCAAACGAAATTAGAAGAAGTCAAAGGATGGCAAGGGAGGGCAAGAGCCGATAAGTAGAAGGGGGGGGGGAGCAGTAGAGCAGTGGGGACTGCTGTCTCCCATCCTCATGCCGAAAATCATTGAGCGACGTAATTAATCGAGTTTCGAATGCGACTAAATCGCAATCGCATCCATCAAAGGCGCAAAACTTCCCAGACAGAAAGAAGAGAAGCGATCGAACGAACGAACGGTGCGGAACGGAATGAAACCGAAGTGGAAGGACGCGATGGAGGAGCATGAGGAGAAGCAGCAGCAGCAGCAGCAGCAGCTCCGGAACAGGAGCCATGGCAGCGGCATCCAATCATCTATCATAGACAGGAGGAGGAGAGAGACGCCCGCCTCGTCTCGCATGCAAATATAATCAAGGAATACACGTCGCTATCTTATTCTGGGGGAGCTGCGTTTTTACAGGCAATTTATTAATTTGGCAAGTTGGGCCTAGGCCACAGACAGAGACAGAGACAGACAGAGGGACAGAGACAACAAATAGACAGGGACAGGGAAAGCCGCAAAACGTTTACCCACTGCTCGGAAATCCAAACCGAAAAACCGAACCGAAACCATAGCCCCGACCCACAACCCCCCGCCCACCGGCCCACCCAAGACCAAAAACCGAAACCAAAAGCCGAAGAAGCGAACTGGCAGCAGCGCCTTAAGAGAGACACACCACACACAAAGCCGAAGCAGGGAACTGTGAACCGTGGTGCAGGCATGCCACAATAGGGGGCACGTGCACCCTAATCCAGTGGCAAGTGGCAATGGCATTACCGACGGGTGGCTTACCACAGTGCCAGGAACAGAAGCCAGGCCCAGGAGCAGGACCAGCACCTAGACTAGAACTA